AAGCCGCGTCGGGTGAAAGGGTTTGGAGAAAAATAATCCTGTCTCAAAATAAATGACGTGAGATCCGAAAAAAGAAACTTCCCGCACAATTGATATTATAATTGAATATTATTAATAATTAATCAATAATTGAGTTTTATAATTTAATAATATACAAATCTCTTTATAAACTTACATATCGACGTAAATATATCTTCTTATATTTTTCATTTTCTACTAAAATTATTTTTAATATAATATATTTATCTATATTTTACTGTAAAATTAAATATATAATTGTACTATACAATCAATTCTAAAATAATTTAACAAGTTTCAGCGTTTCTCGGCAGAATATTAATTAAAGATCTCACGTCATATATTACTTCTTGACTGGTATAAAGCCAATTTTTCAATAAAAAATAGATAGATAGGCTACAAAAAATTAAGGTAAAATCGATGCTTTGTTAAAATAAATTTGAATAATTAATCACGTTTTCTATAAAATTGAATAATAAGACCAAAATATGTCTTACCCTTTTTATTCATGTTTGTATTTATGCATAAAATATTAAAATTCTAAATATATCTACATACGATATATTGTTTCCTTGCATCGATTTATGTAATATTTAATCTTGGATAAATATATGAAAAGGAATAAATTGGTATAAATAATACCCATACATTCTAACTAATTCATAATTTTCCCTATCTACAGATATATATTTTCTCTATCTACAGATATATATATTTTTTATAACATCTAACATAATTGCTTACTTATTCTTATCTCTTTTATCCATAAAAATATCATAAAAATATTTCTTTAATAAAATTTAATAAAAATTTTATATTTCAAAAATCATTGTCACACTTTTTGTTTCTGTTGTGTTTCTAATATATTTATTACTTTTTGATTTAAGTATAAGAGAATTGATCTACATAATAAAATTTCAAAAATTTAATTTATTCTATATCTTATGCTGATTCTGCAAAATAAAATTTTAATATATTTCGATAAAATATTTTGTCATATATTTATTTAAGATTTAAAATTTTAAACACAAATTACTTATATAAAACGCGGCAATTCGTCAACATAATTTGATAAAGGATGAGGAGCTCTTTGCGAGCTCCGTGCGTACGAAGTGTGCGAGTATTTCCTCAAGCACAATCGCACGTAATATTAATAAATAAAGTGACATCAAGATTAAATATTTTCCGTAATTAGTTTTAGCCCATCCATTTTAAGGCTACAAATCTACGAGATGTAATATTTTATACTATAATTGTCATACATAATTCGATATGTACCGAAATACATTTACTCTATATTTGATTAATCGTAGATTTGTTACCTCAATAAAAAAAAAAGAATCTGACTCACCGACTCGATGCGCAACGGGCGGAGTTAAGCAACGTAGCTGCGGCATAAGCTGCGGTGATACTGTAACATACGAACATAGTTGAAATTAAAGAAACAATCAAAATGATCAATATTTCAAAAGATAATTCTTATTCGCCTTTCAATGTAAAATTAATATTTAATAATTTAGTAATATAATTATCTATTTTCTGAAAAAGATCTTTACAAAAGTAAAATTTTATATAATTTTTTCTGTCTCTAATTATTTCTAACTAATCGAGATAAGACAATTCGAATAAATGAAAAAGAATTATTAATTTATTATTAATTATAAAAACAAAAGATGATACTCACCCCAAGGTTGCTCCGTCGAGGCCCGATGTCTCTCTCAGACCTCCTCCTCCTCTCAGGGCGTCAGGCCTCCTTCTCCTCCTCCTCTTCTCACCGCACAGGACACTCGCGAGAAACACTCGCGGATAAACTACAATCGCGCGCGGACTAATTATAATCAGTAAAAGTCTTTCGCGCGATACTGTACGGCACTCATCCCGTTTCTTCTTCTTCTCGAATTTAATCGTTGCACTCACGGTTGCACTTGAGTTAATTGTGTAGCTGACGATAATGCTCCTGAAGGTATAACTCCTGAAACAAAGAAAAACAACACTGAGGCCGCGTGATATCACTTCC